GGTTGATGAAGAGAGTATGGCCACAATCAAGGAGGCAGCACTTAAGTATGAAGCTTATGAAGTGGAGAGCCGAGAGGAACACAAGGCCAAAGAAGAGGAGAAGAAGAGGAAGTTTGGAGTAAATTATGCTGGACCTCGTTACCCACCCAGGAGAGGTCCTAGCAGTTTTGGGAGAACACAGAGTCAATCTATGTCGGGAACATCATACAGGGCACCAATTTCCTCAGCCACACAATTTCCATTTTGTCAAGTTTATCAGAAGAGGCATCCTGGAGAGTGTAGGAGATTTTCTGGTGTATGCTTTCACTGTGGCCAACCTGGGCACATCATGAGGGACTGTCCGCATTCGAGAGAAGTAAGAGCTACACAGTCCGAGCCTTCAGTGCAAATGAGTAGAGCCCCATTCAGGGGTGGTTACCAGGGAGGCCGTAGTGGATTTCATAGTGGTCGTGGTGGTACACAGGGTGGTAGAGGTGGTGGTCGAAATCAGCCATCAGGAAGTGGTACGCAGGGTACCAGAGCACAGGGAGCACCGGGGGTTTATGCAATGACTCGAGGTGAGGCAGAAGTGGCACCAGAAGTTGTGACGGGTATGCTTTCTATCCTTGGCAAGCAATTATATGCAATGACTCGAGGTGAGGCAGAAGTGGCACCAAGAAAAATTGTAGATTATATAAAAGAATCCTTGCATGATTGTTCGGGATAGTGTGGGTGGGTTTTCCCCAAATCGCATACTGGTTGGTTTTGGCATATCACATTACATCCCACACAATTTTTCATAACCCCTCGGTTGGGTTAGGAATCAAAATTGCGCAACACTTGGTTTTACAAACTAAGCTCTCTCAAAACAGGGTGTAGATTGGATAGCTTTGCGGATTAGCTCTTTCGTGCAATTTCTCACAAGGGCAAAGGCTCGAGAAGAATCAGGTGGTACCTGGCCACAATCAAGGGTGGATGACTTGATTGATACAGCAACGAGTGCCCTAGAACTCGTTCTAAGCAACTCTCACTCACAAAAACTGTCTTCAATGAAACAAAAACCGAGTCTTACAATGCAATTGATCAACCTTAAATAGACCTAAGCTAGCTAACAAACTTAATACAAAAATCCAATTCTTAAACAAACAAGGAAATCGATTTTATATAGAAAAGGGAAAAACTTCAGCCGCAATCCTAATCAGAGGCGGATTCGGATTACTCCTTGCAAGACAGTCTTCTCGACAACTTCCATATGATCTTGCTTGCCTTCGTCGGAAGCCTCCAAGGTATGATTTTGATCACTCAATCCCTCGTCGTTGTAGTATGAAACTTGTAGTTGGATGTAGCAATTCCCTTTTGCTTCGACTCCCCTCCAGCTCCTTCGAATAACCCTTCAAATTGAGCTCCTTGAATAGCTTCCCATACTTAGCCAAAATATGGCAGCGTCTTAGTTTTGGCATAGGAAGTTCAGAGGCTTGGAACACGATCTTTCTGGCCATCCCTCGAGCTCCCAGGCACTTCCTTTTGTAGAGTAGCTTCCTAGGTTCAAAACAAGCTGCCATTCGTTCATTTCCATCGAGGCACGAGAGAGAACCACTCTTGCAAAGTGAGTACCCTGCACAAGAACAAACACTTAGCCGAATTTGGTGAGTCCTATTGCCAAATGAACTTGCTTGTTCCACAATACACTGTTGCTTGGAAAAGGGGTTAACTTGGATCGTATCAATTTTGTTTATGAGAATGGTTACGACTTACAATTTCAAAACCGTAGTTTGGAGATGGTATGCAGGAGTGAGCAAAACAACCCGCAAACCGACCCACCCGTCCAATCCGACCCAACCCACCTGTATTTATCATCAAAATTAAAGTTTATAGTTGGGTGAAAGTTTTCTTTTGTACAACCCTCATCTATTGGACTGGGTGTGAATTTTGGGTAGCGCTACCCCTAGAACCCGGCCCTATCTGTGTTGAACTATTCTCATAAGTCTTTGTATCCAAAACATATTTGAGCGAAAACTAATTTATCTTGTCATAATTATCTCTTTTGGTTTTCCTAATCTAATACATTCTTAAACTTAATATTTAGACATAGATTTGATATAAGGAATGATTCATGTAAACTTTTTCAAGTGTACAATTTTAGAAAAACAATATATTATGAATGTGTTAGCTTATAACCACTTTATCTTATTTTGAAAAATATTTATTAAAAAATAGGCATATGTTGAAATAAATTTCATTTCATTAAAATCCAAACAACATTTATACATAGTTTTTGCCTCTATTTATTTGTTTCAAATTTTAATTAGATATATAATATTTTTGTAATGTATAATAGTTGTTTTTTGTGTTGGGTTTAGTTTTTTAATTAAAAGTATCTCCAATCCGACCCAACTCAATTATAAACAAATCATGGGGTTCTAATTTTTTTGGGTGGTCTTTAATTGAATATTTTCAAAATCGTAATATATTGGTGGGATGATTATAATGATTAAAATATGAACCACCCAATTCGTGAACAGAACACCCTAAATGGTATATATGAAAACTGGTCCACGCGGGTCTGGATAGAGTGCATAACCTTAGAGTGCTTAACATGAGTAACCAAATCCGAACCCTTCCTTTTAAGTGGATTGCAAATCTAAAGGCTGTGAATTAAAAACATTTTATTTCTCATATTTTTCTTTAATCGGATCATATCTACTTCATTCTAACTCATATTTCAATTTTTTTTTTTTTTATAAAATGAGATCCATTTTCAATATATTTTTACAAAAAAAATTCATACCTTTCGTTACCAACTCCATAGAAGGAACGATTCAATCATGATCTATTGGATCAAAAAAATTATGAGTGAAAAAATTTCATACCTCTCGTTACCAACTCCATACCATACCCTAGCATGGGGTGGTATATTTCATACTATATGGTCTGCTCTTATTTAATACCAGTCAATACCACACGGTATAGGCTGGTGAAAAATAGCTCAATTTTTTTATCCAAATATATATCAAAGTGGATATCGTTTTGACGAGCACAATTAATCTGATCTAACTGTGCAAAAAAATATAAATTTTGACTTAAAACGAGTGAGAAATCGTTTGTTAAAGATTAAGGGGGAGAAAATTAAAGATTTCTAAGATAGAAAAGGTGCGTTGATGTGGCGGATGAGGGTTGAATTATGGATGGTTATTCACCACAAGGCTATGCATGGTATCCGTTCCTAGGGGTGAACAAACACACCCGCAAACCGACCCACCCGTCCAACCCGATCCAACCCACCCGTATTTATCGCTAAAACTAAGGTTTTGGGTTGGGTGAGAGTTTTCTTCTGTACAACCCGCCTCTTTTGGGTTGGGTTTGGATTTTGGATATACACAACCCGTAGACCCCGACCCGTGTTCCAACTATTGGTATGAGTTCGTATCCAAAAAAATATTTATGTAGTATATAGCCATACTTATGAGATAATTAAGATATTTCACCATGTTTTTCTCTCATGGTCTCCCTAATCTAATGCATTCTTCGGTTTAAAGTTTAGACATAGATTTAATATAGCTATGATTCACGTAATCTTTTTTTTCATGTGTACAATTTTAATTGAATAACATATTATAGATGCGTTTGTTTGTAACAATTTTAGCCTATTTCAACAACTGTCGTGAAAAAACTAGACATATGTTGAAGTAAAACACATTTTACTAAAATTTAAATAATATTTGTGAATTTTGATATCTTTCACCTCAATTTATTCGTTTGAAATTTTAATTAGTTATAAAATATTTTTATGGTACAGAATAATTACATATTTTGTGTTGGGTTTGGTTTTTATTTAAAAATATCTCCGACCCAACCCAATTGGAAACAAACCGTAAGGTTTTAATTTTTTTTGGGTGGGTTTGTGTGGAAAAAATCCCAAAGTACACTATTACTTAAAAAAAATCACAAAATACATAAGTTATAAAAAAATTCCAAAAATACACATGTTTCACATTCACCGTTTTTGTCTAACGCAGTGAACATAATCACCGCATCAGACAAACACGGTGAACAATTCACCGTTTTCATTTAAAACAATGATGTATTCACCGTGGTTAAGCTAAACGGTGAATAAGTCACCGCGTGTAATCTAAACGGTGAAGACTTCACAGTGTTTGTTGACAACGGTGAGTAAGTCACCGTTTTAAGGCAAAGCAGGGAATAACTTCACCGCCCTAGGTTACGACGGTGATTGTTTCTCACGTTTTCCATCTCTGGTAGGTGAAAATTAGGTCACAGAGGGGATGGATTGAGGGAGAAAGAAGTGTAAATGTGGTGGTGTGATTTGGAAGTGGGGGAATGGTTCTATTTATAGGGTAAGGTTGTGCGTTAAAACAGCCACTGCGCCATCACCGCCTTTATCGAAGACGGTGAAAGGCGCGGATCGAGTGACGTGAGACACTGTGAGGCGTCGGATCTGGGAAGAAAACCGAAATCCGCGCCCCACCGCATCCAACGGCAACGTGGATCGTTGACGTGGACAAACACGGGGTATTCACCGTGTTTGTCTAACACGGTGAATGCACCGCGTTTGTCCACGTCAGCGATCCTCGTCGCTTTCATCGTGGCCGATCGATACGGTGAATATTTCACCGCGTTTATTAGAACGGTGATGTCTTCACCGTTTTCGTTTAAGGCGGTGAATGGTTCCCTCATTAATTCACCATTTTGCTTAGCCACGATGAATACGTCATCGTTTTAAATAAAAAAGTCAATTGTTCACCGTGTTTGTCTGATGCGGTGATTATGTTCACTACGTTAGACATAAACGGTGAATGTGAAACATGTGTATTTTGGGATTTTTTTTATAACTTATGTATTTTGAGAATTTTTTTATGCACTAGTGTATTTTGTGATTTTTCCGAGTTTGCGTTTAATATTTTTCAAACCATAATGAATAGATCGAATGATTAAAATGACCAAACCCGGACCACCTGCCGCTATCCGTTCCCGGTCCACCCGAATCCGATGACATACAAAGAGCGACTTTGTATTGTTTACTTACTTGTTCAGGCGTGCCTGCCACTGACTCTGGCAAAAAGGCGAAATTCCCAGCTCAAACTCTCATTGTGTTCTTCGCCAAACTCCTCCCTCTCGCTTCAGGTAACAATCTTTTCCTTGTTTTCTCGTCGGTCCACATCTCACTGTGCTGCATTTTTCAATACCCAGACGATAAAATTCGCAGTCTCTAGCCCAGCTGGACGATCCATGTTGACTTCTTGTTATAATCGTCTTCGTCTTTCTTCTCCCTCTAGATTAGAGCTGTTAGAATAATGAATTCAGATGGCTTTAAACAACCAGAAAATCGACGTGTTATCAGTTGCGGTGACCTTTTTATGTCATTTGTGGTTTTCCTGTTTCACAGATTGTGTGTGGGTACGAGAAGCCTACTTCACGTTGCTTTTGTGAGAATGATGTCTCTTTAATGTACAAGAAGTTGAGGTGATTTTCTCGTTTGAAAGGCAGGCGAGATGTCATTTTCCAGGTGGTAGCTTGGGCAATTTGGAGGCGGCTGGTTGGTTTACTATTCCCGAAGGAGAGCGAGAAGTTGGATATGACGTCAATCTTTGTGATGAATTGCGTCTTTCCTCTAGGTTTTAGATGTTAGAGACTGGGTTTAGACTTCCAGCCGGGAATTCAGTATTTATTGCCTCTGGAATATATGCACATTGATATTGAAGAGAACTAAAACAATTAGACTTTTGGGTTGTTTCCTTCAAAACTCAATTCTGTTCTGACCTTGATCATCTTCCTTTAGGAATCTACAGCTTTGAGATTGTTTCCTTGTGGGTTCCCAAATTCAGTTAAAAAACTTCCATCCATGCCTGAGAAGACTAAGCATCTATCCAGGCTACTGATCTACCTCATCACTCTCTCTTTGTTCCTTTTGATTCTATCTTCTCTATCACTTCGACAGTTCGGCGATGTCTCGTTGCTACCTGGTTCTGTTATCAGGTTGATTCTTGCTAACAACACCTCAATTTATGTGAGACCCAATGTTCAAAGGGACCCAAAGATCAAAACAATCCCCTTCTTGTCTCCCCTAAGCTCAAAGACACGATCCCCTAACTTTGGCCCTTGCAGTCAAGGAACAATTTGTCCACCTTCTGGAGCCTTGACTTGTGACCAAAATCAAGCTGTTCTGAGGGTATATATGTATGATCTTCCTCCTGAATTTCACTTTGGATTACTGGGCTGGAAGGGAAGTGGCAATGAAACATGGCCAACTGTTAATGACCCTAGGCACATCCCGCCATATCCTGGTGGCTTGACTTTGCAGCATAGTATGGAGTATTGGCTGACACTTGATCTTCTAGCATCTAATGTGCCAAGTATCATCAAAGCTTGCAGTACAGTTAGAGTGAAGAATTCTAGTGAAGCAGACGTACTCTTTGTGCCGTTTTTCTCATCTCTGAGTTACAATCGGTATTCCAAGCCTCTGGGGAAAGAGAAACTTATACTAGACAATATTCTACAAGAGAAATTGGTGCAGTATTTGTTGGGTCATGATTTATGGAAGCAACATGGGGGAAATGATCATTTGATTGTGGCACATCATCCCAATAGCATGCTGCACTCCAGGAAAGAGTTAGCCTCTGCCATGTTTGTGCTTGCAGATTTTGGGAGGTATCCGGCTAGCGTTGCAAATATTGAAAAGGATATAATAGCTCCTTACAAACATGTTGTTAGGAGCATTCCAAATGGTCAGTCAGCTCAGTTTGATGAGCGTTCCATACTAGCTTATTTCAAAGGGGCTATTTACAGAAAGGATGTAAGTATCTGCTGTCTTTCCTTCTATACTATAAATATGCCTTGATTACTATCGTCTTCTACCATCTCTAGAAGTAACTGTTTGTTTAAACTTAATATTCCATATCCATAGATTGAGCTAATTTGTATCTGAATGCTGTAATGAAGATTAAAAACAAAAACTCATTAGCAAGCCAGATTGGCTTCCATTTGTTGCATGCATTACGGTCTGGAGGCTTGATAGCAGAATTCTTACACTTTCATGGCAGCATGCAATATGAAAAAATATACTAGTATAAGCCCTGTTCTCCTTATTATAATTCTGTATCTACAACCAGTTTTCTTCTTACAGCATAAAGCACATTTTATGGTTTGAGAACTTGTAATCTTTATAACAGGCAGTCACATGCACATACATTTTTCTCTGAACTGCAGTTTGACAGTTAAGGAACAGTTCAAAATTTTTAATTTACTCTTCTTTAAACAGTAATGTACTAATATGCACTCTGCTTTCCTTCTTAGGGAGGAACTATTCGCCAGGAACTCTACTATCTTCTTAAAGATGAGAAAGATGTGCAGTTTACATTTGGGTCCTACAGCAAGAATGGGGTGAACAAGGCCAACGCAGGGATGGCCAAATCAAAGTTCTGCTTGCATATTGCCGGTGATACACCTTCCTCTAATCGTCTCTTTGACATTGTTGCAACTCACTGTGTTCCTGTGATCATCAGCGATGAGATTGAACTTCCATTCGAAGACGTGCTGGACTACTCAGACTTTTGTGTCTTTGTTCATGCATCGGATGCTATCAAACCGGGTTACTTGATGAAGCTTCTACGTGGGATTGACCGAGATGAGTGGACCAAGATGTGGTTTAGATTACAAGAAATTGCCTCCCACTTTGAATATAATTACCCTTCCAAAGCTGACGATGCTGTGGATATGATATGGAAGGCAGTAAGGCGAAAAGTATCTGCAGTTCCCTTGCAAATTAACAGGAAGAAGAGATACTATCGATCTCAACCAACAAGCTAACTGAAGTGAACACCACAGTTTGGAGGAAGACATGATACCAAAAGCTTCCCTCTCTCTTGTTCTCTCATGCGAAGGGCATTTGATTTTTGTAACCTTATCAAGAGCTGCTTGTTTTTGCTTAATATACATAGATGAGGGATGAACTATTCGGCAGGAACTGTACTACCTTCTAAAATATGAGGAAGATGTGCACTTTACATTTGGATCCTACGGGAAGGGTGGCATGGCATCAACAAGGTCAATGCAGGGATGACCATATCAAAGTTCTGCCTACATATAGCTGGGGATACACCTGGTTCCAATCGCCTATTTGATGTGATTGCCACTCTCTGGGTTTCTGTGATAATAAGCGAAGATATAGAGCTGACATTTGAAGATGTGGTTGACTACTCAGAGTTCTGTGTGTTTGTTCATGCGTCTGATGCTGTCAAACCAGGGTACTTACTGAATCATCTCGGTGGAATGGAGGGATATGAATGGACCAAGATGTGGGTCAAGATTACAAGAAATTGGCGCCCACTTTGAATACCACTAACCTTCAAACTTCAAAGCCTGATGATGCTGTGGATATGGTCTGGAAGGCTGTATCGAGAATGGTGCATGCACTTCGGTTGCAACTTAACAGGAATAATAGATACTCTAGGTTTCAACCAGCAAGCTAACTGAGAACAACAGTCTGCAGGTAGACATGATTCAAAAGCTTCCCTCTTTTTGTGTTTGTTTCCTTGTGTGTAAAAAGGGTATTTGTTTTTTCATTTTTAGGGATCTGTTTGTTTTCACTAATCATACGCGATCTAATGAAATTGTTTATTGTCAAGAACAATCATTTATACAAGGTCTTATTGGCCATGTGAATTGGATCGTTCATCGAGTATCGTTGTTCTTCCCTTCCGTTCATGCGATTTTTGTTTATATTCTAAATGTGAAGAAAAATCTAACTGGGTAGCCATGGGAAATTGCTCCGAATTTTCGCTATGACAATAAATAAACCATTAGAATCTTATATAAGTTGAAGGAGGTCCTAAAGTGGTAATGCTGGACATTTTAGGTGTATGACTGCAACCATCATTGACAGCAAAGGTTTAATGATTGGTTGATAAACTTAGAGTTTCGGGGTTTCTTTAGATTTAACATTTCCTTTGAAAAAGCAGAACTTTCGACTATGATTCATAGAAAATAAAGGAAATTCAGGAGTAGCGATTGAACTTGATAACAATACCCATATTTATGCTTCTACTCTGAGTTGTTAATTTCCATTCCTTGTGCATGTGGATGAATCTGTTCCTTTTCAGTATTGTCTCAAGATTGACGATCACATTTCTTTTTACCTTCGTGGTCCTGGTTGTTGAAACTTTACTCACTGTAGATGAGTTTTGAGTTCTGCAAATTTCTTTTGTTTTTAACAACTCTGCAGAGTGCATTTAGTTTATCGTTGTGATTCTAAATGCAGAAGAAAAGTGACTGACATGAAGATGGTATCGTGGAAGAAAGGAAATGGCCAAAGGTCATCTGTTCACGGAGTATGAACTTCTGCAAACTAGAATAACATATAGGTTGCCTGTGAAACTGTTCCTGTGGATTGAAAAGGGTGAGGGACAAACAAAGAAAACACAAAAGAAAAAGAAAAGAAAGCACTATATGTTGATTGTCTATGAGAGCCAGCATCATCTACACTTTTGAGTATTTTGGGGGACCCTAACAAGTTGATTAAGACCTGATTGATTCTATACAGTACTGCGATGATGCTGGCTCAGAGATATGGGTGGGCCTAGCCTAGGCTGCTGCAATCCTCTCTTACAAAATGCCGCCTCTAGAACAAATGAAAAATATATCAAAATCCAGCAAACCGTGTTGAAGGCTCTAACTTCGAGGAATCAGGAGGTGCCTGTATCTTGCAGTTTCTTCATCTTCTTTCATTTTTTTTTTGCATCAGCTGCAGCTTCAAGCCGTCACTTCCTTTGCTGGCATTGAGGAGTGAAAAAGAACATAGAAAAGAATATTTGGTGCTCTTCCCTGAGTCAGAAAACCAGGCTACTGCCTGTTGTGAATGGGATCTGATCCTTTCTTAACCGTTCTTTTGTTGGACTGATTAGGATCAAACATCACAGAAGGTCCAGGTGCCAAGCTCGATGACGTGGCCTGCAACTCATCTGCAGCCACTTCCTTGAGGAAGCGTAAATTATGGACCCCAGGATGCCGCCATCTCAGAGCAAGATCAATGCTTGTCAGGCCACAAGCCATCTCAGGCTGTAGAGCTAAGTTCCCAATGCAGAATAGAAGAAGAATAACTATGTGCCCTGATACACCCATGAAGCAATGATGATGATTATGACGATAAAAGAATAGAAATGGAGGAGTAGTTTTAGTCTGAGAACTGAGAAGTGGCTGCTGATTTTATAATGCAACTCTGCTGATAATATGTTTATATATAGTGCAGGAATAAGCTCGAGTTATTGCTTTTCTCAAAGTGGATCCATAAAGCACAAGGGTTGTGGCCCCAGGAAACATGTGGGGAAGGCCATTAGATTCACTTGCAATCATGAGCATGCCCCCATTGGAATAACTAACTATATGTTCTTTTAGGAAGGAAGACTCATCCTGACAGGTTTGAACAAAAAAGGTGGAGTTGGAACAATTTCCTTGGGAAGATAAGCATCTTTGTTTGTTCTTCTTCTCACATCTCAGTTTCCCCACATTTCCCTATCATTAGGTAATTGGCTTCGATGCTCTTTCTTTTACCAATCCAAAGTTAGAGAACAATCCCTGTCACTCCCAGTCCAGGTTCCAGAATCCCAAATAAAGTAAAAGGGGAAATCAAACCCAGAAAAAAGGGCAAGATTGGAGACTGGGACTTTCTGCTAGTGGATGCTTACCATCCTAAATAGTGCCATCATTTCTCTTTATCTAACTGGCCGCGATGCCAATAACCAGTTTTATCCAATGGAATTGTAGTTGAAAAAAGAGTAAGTGGTTTTTGCACAAAACTGCTAGAAACCAATGGAATTGTAGTTGAAATGCTTGTGTGATGGATTTGGAGTTTGGTTTAAAACCCTATAAAGTTAAAGAGAATAAGGACTGTGGAGGCTGCTAAGAGTACACTTTGGTACAATCCTGGTGGCTGGCTGGCTGGCAGATTTTAAATTTATGCCTCCCTCGACCGCCAGCACAGGCAGCTGAAGCTCCAAAGTTGGCCGTCGTCAGGCAGAGATTTGGAATCTTGGAATGAAAAGTGGCGTTTTTGTGACTTGGCAGCTAAGGAAGCAAGCACAAGCTTGGTGGTAATGACTAATGAGTGGGTGGATGAGGCTTAAACTAAGGCAATGTACCCTAATGAATTTTTATTAAAGGGCCATGAAAAGTAGAGATGTCGGGAGATGGATGGAGGAATAGCGGCTTGCTTGGCTTCCCTCCTTGTATAAAAAAACAAACAAACACACCCCAAGCAAGCAAGTTAGAGGAGCTGCTTTATCCCTCCTGGGCCTTCTCCTCTCAAGGAGTGTTCAATTTTTTGCCCTTTTGCTTTAGGAATTCCAAGCTCTTCTATCCATACACCAATCCAACAAACCAACCAAATATCAGTGCCTTGGTTCCTTGTGCTATAATGGGGGTTCGTTTTTCTTTATGCCTTTTTTCTGCCCCTTTGGCTAGTTGGCTCTCTCACTTTCTATTCCATTCCATTCTATCCTATTCAAAGTTGTAAAAGAAGCAATACACCAACTAGTGAGGTGTTAGCATTTATAGGTGTGCATTGATCAGGCTTCAAGAAGACATAATTTTGTGTACATTCATGCGCTAGACAAGGACAAAAACAATTTGTTTAGGTTCTAGGTAGAACATTAGGCATTCCTAACGCCTAGGCACCGTCAAGATGGAGTTAGGCGCGATTAATTGCTGAGATGTGATTAATCAAGACTAGGCGGTCTGATGACTAAAGATACAAAAATAAATAAGTATATTTAAATGGTCCAAAAGGACACCACCTTATGTTCGACTAGTTCCTCCCAACGACCCATCCTACACATGTCTTCTTCCTCGATTGGACTAAAAACATTTAGATCAACAGAGCTCTCTGAATTACAGTGCATTCTCCCCCTACCCCAAGATTCAGCGTCGGCAATTGTAGTGCTTCTCATCTCCGACTTTGGTCGACCCAATACTCTGTCCTATTATTTTCCACCCTCAACCGTTAAGCACCCAAAACCACGTCACCGTATGCACTACTTCAGTCATCTCTGGTTTGTATCCCACTTTGATCAACCCAACCTTCTTTCTTACACTTCACCGTCGTGGACTTACGACAACCAAGCCCTGTCGTCTACTTCACAACTTTAGTTTTTCTCAGCCTTGCTAAATCCTAGGCCATAGCCCTCTCACATGCTCTTCGCAGTGGTTGGATGTGATTTCAGTAGCCAGCCAACCACAATCCTACAAACGACGACATGGTTTCAGTGATTCCCTTATTCGCAGCAACCCTCTCTATGTCTTCAGTCAATTATCATCTCCACTGCTCATTCATTCACAGAGTTTGGCTTTCTCTCCCATTGCCTTTCTCTCTTTGTTGTTGGTGCTCTGTTTCTGAGAACTTGGGTTCCATACTTTTTTGGAAGTTGTGATTCTAATTGCTATAATTTTAAAATTTTGTCTTCTAGGCAATAATGACATATTTTACTTGTTGTTGATGGTTAGCTAAATTATAAATTAATCATTTGAAATTGTGTCTAAATGAGAAAGTGCTATAAAATTATAATGATCGCTTGAAACGTCTAGGTGTCGCCTAGATATTAGGCAGGACCCCAACACTTGTCTAGTGACTAACGCCTGCTTGAATCTTGACATTTATTATGAGAATTCGCAAAACTCCTACTCGTGTACTGAATTAATTGCTATCACGGTGAACTTACAGTTATAGTGGCTAAAGATCACTTTAGGTTTAATGAGAGATCACTTGTCATAAATAAAATAACGCATATGCAACAATTCATATGACCTTTCTTGAATCTTTTGTGGTTGTCTTGTCATTATATTATTGAATCACAATCTTAAATGGACGCTCGTTAGAATCTACAATATTAAATAGAACTGTTTATGTACAATATGCATTCCATTTTGACCTCGAGGAAAAGTCTTGTGAGCCTTGTGAGATTGATCTCTTTTAAATCGATTGAAATATGGTCAAACCGCTATATGTATCTAGTCAAACTCGTTTGCTTAATTAATGTTCTTGGATTGCATTATCACATAGTAGTCTGCTTACTCAAATTACTGGATTGGTGGGGCTGTCTTGTGGCCTCATTTATGCAACTCCATTGTGGCTTGTTTAACCACTCTTGTGGTCTGCTTAATGAATGTTTCGGATTGCATTATCTACATAGTAGTCTGCTTACTCAAATCACTGAATTGGTTGGGCTGTCTTGTGGCCTCCTTTATGCAATGCTATTGTGGCTTTTTAACCACTCTTGTGGTATGCTTAATTAATGTTTCGGATTGCATTATGTACATAGTGGCTTTATTTCATCAGTGTTCTCCAGTTGTGGTTTGTTTGACCACTCTTCTGATTGACTTATTCACTAATTTCTTTCTTTTCATTACTATGTCATAGGTATAACTAATAACTGCTGCAATTATGTCACCGAAAGCATTGAAGATGTACAGCAAGCACAACGAAAGTAAGCTTAGAAAAGGATTAGCAAAAAATAAACTAGAAGAAGCTTATGAAAAAATGAAAAAGGAATATGAGAAACTAACTTGCAGACCTGGCATACTTGAAGTACATGCAACAAGACATGATTCAAGACTTCAAGAAACATAACTGGTGTAAGCATGTTGTAGACAAGTTCAACCAGGGCTTGAAAGAATCAATGAAATCAAATTCCATTTTCAGGGGGACATCCATCTCTTACTTGTGAGTGACTACTTACTCTTTGGGTCTGCTTATTCAAATGAATGGATTGGTTGGGTTGGGTTGTCTTGTGGCCTCCTTTATGCGACATGTTGTGTGTTTTCAACGTATTTGTAGTCTAGCTAAGCCATGTTACTAATCTGGCTTTATAATTGTGTTTGACAATTGTAGCTTGTTTATCTAGTCTTGTGGTCTACTTAATTAATTTTCTGGATAGCATTATCTATATAGTGGTCTGCTTACTCAAATTGATCGGCTGTTTGGTTGTCTTATGTCCTACTTTATCCAACCACATTGTGGTTTGTTTATCTAGTCTTGTTGTCTGCTTAATTAATGTTCCGGGATGCATTATCGACATAGTGGTCTGCATACTCAATGACTGGATTGGTTGGGTTGTCTTGTGACCTCTTGTAAGCAACTACATTGTGGCTTATTTATCTAGTCTTGCGGTCTGCTTAATCAATGTTCTCGATTAATTACAGAAAAAATGTTTTGGATTGTATTATTTGCATAGTAGTCTGCTTACTCAAATGAATGGACTGGTTGGGCTGTCTTTTGGCCACCGTTAGGCAATTTATGGCCTCCTTTATGCAACCCTATTGTAACTTCACCTATATTCCATTTCAACACTTCATTCTCGACTGAGCTAAATGGAAGCCTACACCAGCCTTGCCCCCTCCAACCTGCAGGCACATGCTTTAAAAAAAATTGCAAAGATAATTTTGAAAAGCTATTACGGCTGAGACACCTCACTACTGGACCAAGAATGACCATTGGAGAGAAAGAGGTTCCAAGAATCATATAGAAAGAGGATCGAAGAATTGGTGAGAAAGAGGTGCCAACCACAAGAGAGAAAGAGTTGCCAAGCATTGGAGAGAAAGAGGATTGAAGAATTGGAGACAAAGAGGTGCCAATCACAAGAGAGAAAGAGTTATTGATAACTACGTATTTGCACATGTTTTTCTCCTAAATTCTTAATCATTTTAACTTAGTTTTATATGCTCCTTGGCCTATTTTAAGTTAGGTTATGTTTATGTGTGGTATTTCATATCCTAGTACATAGAAGAGGTTTAGGAGTGGATTTGGGGGCAAGTTGGAGACTAGGGGTGTAAGTACCATCACCAGGTAGATTACCCGACTTGGGGCCTTGATTACCCGGCCGAGTATCTCGAAGACGAACCCGGGTATAGAAACAGGAGGAAATCCCCACGGTGCCGATGAAAATCCCTGGTCTGGTATTTCTCTAACCATATGACACGCTACGACACAACACCAAACTGCGACCAAGTGTAATCGCAGTCAAGGAATGCAGTAAAGTGACAAGTTCTAATTATCAACTCGGGGTCTAGATCTTCTGCCTACTCCACATATATCTGTTATCTAGCAAACTAAGTCGATTGATTGTTGTTTTAACTAAAAACAGTAAGAAAGCAGGAAATGATTCGGCTTTCTAAAGCAAAGGAAGAGTCACTCAGAAATGATTCAGTTGTGGCAATGT